CACACACACACACACACACACACACACACACACACACACACACACACCAGTTATATGGCTCTGATGACACAGAAAATGTTCCAATTCCGTAGAGAAGACAAAAGCAGACACAAGGTTTCTGAGGCCATGCTGAGGGCATCACAGGACCCCATGTTCTGACTGTGGTCATGGTACTAGCAGGGCCAGCCTGTCCAGTCCTGCATCTGGAAGCTTCACCCTGGACACTCCAAAGGAAGACCACATAGCTGGGGGATGGGGAGGGTACAGGACAATGAAGGGAGTGAGTCCAGGCCTCCTGTCCTAGCATCTTTCTCTCCCTTTTCTCTGACAGCTCAACATCCTGGTGGACACAGGCAGCAGTAACTTCGCAGTTGGGGCCGCCCCCCACCCTTTCCTGCACCGCTACTACCAGAGGCAGCTGTGAGTGCGGGGAGAGGAAGGGGGAAGGCTCTTCCCAAGGATCCAGGGCAAAGGAGGGTCGGGGGAGGGCTGCAGGGAGAAGGACCAGCTCCACAGAGCCTTTCTTCCTGCTGGGCAGGAGGGAGGGAAAAGAAGGCAACAGTGACCAGAAGAGAAGAGTGGAGGGGCTGGAGGGTTGAGGAGGTCAACTATGGGAAGGGTAAGTTGAGGGGCAGCCAGGAAGTGCGTCAGTTCCGAGATAGGGCAGCTTCCTGGGGGAGGGAAAGCAGGAAGGAGAGCAGCCCCAAAGCTCCCAGTGCAGTCTCGAGGTCTCCTTCTCTCTGCCTGAACTGGGAGGCCCAGGGACTCCAACCCACACCCCTCAGTGGCTCTGGTTTTCTGATGCCACCACCTAAGTCTAGGCTGAGCAGGCTGCAGTGACAGCTCCCTTCGCTGTGTCCTCGCCTGGGGGCTACTCTTGGTGGCTTTGCACGGTTCAAGGAAGGGAAGGAAGAGCCTTCCACGGCTCCACTGCCTGGCCTGATATCAGGGACTGAAAGCTAAATGCTTCCCTGCCTCCCGGGAGTTCCAGCAGCTGGACTTAGCTAACAGGTGGGAGGGAGGGTAGAAGTGGGTTTTTAAGGTAACAGAGGCAGTGAGGGATGATCTGGGAGCCCCTTTAACAGAAAAGCAGGAAGTGGCGAGAGGCCATCTAATGTCTGAGGCGTATGTGTGTGTGAAAACATGTGAGTCGAGACTGACACCCCATTCTTGGACTTCTAGGCAAATGCCAAAGGCGCCTTCTTAGGTCCCTTGCCCTTTAACTCCCCTATCTAAAGAAAGCAGTCAGGGAAGGGGGCATGGCCAGGGTCCATGAAAGGGAATTCATTCCAGCTCCTTGCCCGTGTCCCATCACTGCCCCCATCATACACACCAGCCCTGGTCAGAGGCGTGATTCCACACAGGTGGGGGTGACACATGGTGATAAGCATGTTCCATCCGAGTGGTGCGTCTTGCCTGCTCGCCCTGCTGAGGTGCCCGTGCAAACTCCTTCCTTGGAAGAATTTGCTGAAGAAGTTCCATGCTCACCCGCTTGGTACTTTCTCTACCACTCAGATGGTACCACTGGGTCCCAAGGCAGCAAGAGTCAATGGCTCCTTTTCTTTAAGGGCGTGATAAGGTCAGGGGGCGGGGAGTGGGAGATGCCCGCTAGCTGTCCCTTCAGCAGCAGCAGTCACAATACACAAAGTTAGACTTGTTCTTCCAGGGCCTGAGCTCCAGATCTAGGAATACGAGCTATGGACACAGGAGAGCGAGCTCCAGGTCTAGGAATACGAGCTATGGACACGGGAGAGCGAGCGCCAGAGACAGCTCCCCACGTCTGTCTGCAAGGTCACTTATTCTGTTCCCGGTGAAGGAGCTACGGATGTTCTCTTAAGCAGCCTGACAGCATCCTGTCTTATGTAGATGACCGAGATGAGATTCGGCGTCTGGGAGTAGGTTAGATGCTGGCTTCATGTACCAGCTGTGGTTACGCACCCAACAGATCTCTGCCTGCTTTGCACAGGTCCAGTACATACCGGGACCTCCGGAAGGGCGTGTATGTGCCCTACACCCAGGGCAAGTGGGAGGGGGAGCTGGGCACCGACCTGGTGAGCATCCCCCACGGCCCCAACGTCACCGTTCGTGCCAACATCGCTGCCATCACTGAATCAGACAAGTTCTTCATCAATGGCTCCAACTGGGAGGGCATCCTGGGGCTGGCCTACGCTGAGATCGCCAGGGTGAGAGGAACAAGGGCTAGCCCTAGACACTCTGCCTGAACGTTGCACACTGCATGCTACACAGGGACGGAGTTACGGGAGAGAAGGGGAGGGAACTGAATAAGGGAGGGAAACAAATCAGTTTAAAGAATTACTTTACAGGTGGATAGGGTGGCAGTCTGAATTTCATCCCTACAGAGGGCAGAACTATGGTGACAGGTAGAGGAACAGGCTATCTTTTCTATTGACGCTAAGATCTTTAAGAATGAGAGGCCCCCGTAACTCTGAAACAGGTTAAGCAGATGGGGATCAACGATCCTACAGATCTTTCCTGTTTGCATTGCCAGTGTGTCTTGCTGTCCCTCTCTCCACCAAATCTCAGTACCTCAGGATGGTCTTTCCCAAGGAACATCCCCCAAGTTTTGCTTTTGCCCTCCCATTCCTCTTTCCATTAGGGCCCTCTGTGCGAGGATTCACTCCTTGTCTCTCTCTGTCACAGCCTGACGACTCCCTGGAGCCATTCTTTGACTCGTTGGTAAAGCAGACCCACGTGCCCAATCTCTTCTCCCTGCAGCTCTGTGGTGCTGGCTTCCCCCTCAACCAGTCGGAGGTGCTGGCCTCAGTTGGAGGGAGCATGGTGAGTAGGCCCTAGGAGAGGGGAGGCCCGGGCACTGGGCAGAGACGGGAGCACCTGCTGCCTCCCTGCCCTCTGAGGCCACACCACAGCCTCGGGCTCCACTGCTGAGAATCGAGAGAAACCTCTTCATGTTCCCCACCTCCATTTTTCTTTTTCTACCCTTTTCTTCCTTGCATTATTCCAGAAAGGACTTGAGGCTCCTATGGTAAACTTGGCAAGGATGACAGATGATTAGGAAAATTTCAAAGGAAATGAAAATAAGGCCTCTCAAGTCAAGACTGTTCAGTCTGATGATGAGAAGGCAGAGATGTAAGGAGTTTAAAAGTCTATTTATTAATTCATTTAGGACAACTGGTGAACTCTATCTCCAACAAGCAGAGAAAATAAAACTTACAACAGAAGCAAATTATCATTCACTCAACATTTATTATGCCAGTTTAGGTTTAAATAACTTTATATCAAGGGCTGTGTGATTCTGAAACAATTAAAAATCCTGGAAAGCCTTTTCCCCTGAACACATCCTTTAACACATTTAAGAAAGTATCAGTCGCTTTACGGCGTGGTTTGATTAGAAGCAGGAAGATGAGAAAGGTGATGTGCAGAGCGCCTTGCCACCCCAGAAATGACTGATCCTATGCTTGCCCTCTGGGTGACTTGTTGTCCTTCTGTGTTGGCACACGGGTACTGGCTCTTCTGCTCCCTAGATCATCGGGGGTATCGACCACTCGCTGTACATGGGCAGCCTCTGGTACACACCCATCCGGCGGGAATGGTATTACGAGGTGATCATTGTGCGGGTGGAGATCAATGGACAGGATCTGAAAATGGACTGCAAGGAGGTAATAAAACCTGGGGGAGGCAGGGAGAGGCAAGGGGGAGGCAACATCGCGTGAGGCCAGACCCCGAGTTATGAGGCTGGGAGGATGAGGTTGAGGTGCAGGACCTGCAGGAGGGTTGGGGGCTGAGCCTAGAACAGCAAGGAGCTTAATGGTCACATGGCGGGACCTGAGGTTTGGGGCTAGGGACTGGCTTAGCACTTCCCCAGAGGCTGCGTGGCATAAGGTCTGGTACGGAAAAAAGCATATCTGGACTCCGGTCACTGCCTTGCTTTATGACCTTGGGCAAGTCGTCCGCGAGGCAGTGTAACATGACGTAGTAGAAGAGTCTGGCTTCGGAGTAAGAAAGACCTGGGTTTCTAGCTCTGCTCTAGCTATGTGTCCTCAGGCAAGTTACTATTTTGTGTCTCAGTTTCCTCACCTGCAAAACAGAAGTAAAAACAGCTTTTCCAAAGACGGCGGTGAAAATAGAGAAAGTGAATAAAGTGTTTATCCCAGTGCTTGACACACAGCAAGACCCAATAATGGCAGTTAAACTATTTGGGTGTTCCTTACCTAGATTCTTCATGTATGTTAACTTAGAACAGATACAAACGTATTATGAAAAGTTAAAAGCATTATACAAGGTATTTTTATTTTCAAGATTTAGAGAATGTCTACCCACCCAAGATAATAAGAGTTAACATGTACTGACTGCTTCCTATGTGCAGGGCACAATCCTAAACACTTCAAATATATTAATTAATTTAATGCTCTTTATTTATTTAATAACTCTTTGAGGTAGGTACTATTATTATCCTCATTTTACAGATGAGGAAACTGAGGCACAGATGTTAAGTAACTTGCCCAAGGAGATCCACCTAAGAAGTGGCAAAGCCAGGATGCCAACCCAGGAAGGACCCCAAGCAGTCAGCCTCACCCCTCCAATTCTGGCCAAAGCCTGGCATCAAGAAGGCTTTTGATGTTCTAACCCTCTCTTCTCCCTCTTAGTACAACTATGACAAGAGCATCGTTGACAGTGGCACCACCAACCTTCGTCTGCCCAAGAAAGTGTTTGAAGCTGCTGTCAAATCCATCAAGGCAGCCTCCTCGGTCAGTGGGACTCAGGACAGGGGTACAAGAGATGACAGAGTGTCACAGGAAGTCTGTGAGAGGCACGTTCCTCCACAAGAGCCAAGATGTCTACCCTTAGATCCCTCTACTTAGGTCTCTTAAACAACGGTTCTCTGCTATGGGCCTCAGCTTGCTCAGCACACAGTCCCCCAGCCCAAAGTTTTGGCCTTACTCTCTTGCTCTCTTCCTCTAAGCCTTGGGTTTCGGCTGACCTTTCCCCAGTTTGGATATTTCATGGAAAAGCAAGTAAAAGGCCCAGTAAGTGTTATCTGAAAATGGGAGAGGCGAGATGGTGAAAGAGGCCGTTTCCTCATCTTTATCCTTTTCCCATCAACACAGACGGAGAAGTTCCCAGACGGTTTCTGGCTCGGGGAGCAGCTGGTGTGCTGGCAAGCAGGCACCACCCCGTGGAACATTTTCCCGGTCATCTCACTCTACCTAATGGGTGAGGTCACCAATCAGTCCTTCCGAATCACCATCCTTCCACAGGTATGTCCCTGGCCTGAATCAGTGGGATCCCAGGACGAGAACAAAGGATATATTGAGAAAGAGTGAGCAGGCATGGCTTCCTAGAACTTGGAAGACAAAATAGATGAGGATCCAGCGGTAAAGGGCTCTGGGAAAAACCAGCCTCTCGGAGCTCAGGGCTGGCAAAGGGAAGGGCAGCCTAAGGGCATCGATACCAAGAAGGCAGAGATGGGGTGAAGGGTGGAGGAAGACATACTCTCACTCTTTGCTTGCTTATCCTTAGCAATACCTGCGGCCAGTGGAAGATGTGGCCACATCCCAAGACGACTGTTACAAGTTCGCCATCTCACAGTCATCCACGGGCACTGTCATGGGAGCCGTTATCATGGAGGGCTTCTACGTTGTCTTTGATCGGGCCCGGAAACGAATTGGCTTTGCTGTCAGTGCTTGCCATGGTGAGAGCACCAGGGACGAGGCTGTGGGGTCAGTCTATCCCCGTTCTCCCTGTCCAGTGGTGAGGGTACCCGGGCCCCTGTCAGTCTGGGAGGGAGTAACAGTTGCCTCAAGCCAGAGTCCACGTATTGTGTAAAAGCTAGTGTCGGTGCTTGTGCTTTTTTTTTTTTTTTTTGTGGTTCGCGGGCCTCTCACTGTTGGGGCCTCTCCCGTTGCGGAGCACAGGCTCCGGACGTGCAGGCTCAGCGGCCATGGCTCACGGGCCCAGCCGCTCCGCGGCATGTGGGATCTTCCCAGACCGGGGCACGAACCCACGTCCCCTGCATCGGCAGGCGGACTCTCAACCGCTGCGCCACCAGGGAAGCCCCGGTGCTTGTGGTTTTTTTGTATCGCCTGGCATGCTGACCCCTGCCTGGACTGGCAACCTCTGTTGGAGACCCAGAACAGCAAGAGCTGCCTCGGCACCTTGGGAAGCTCTAGATCCAAGGGTGGCAGGCTGGCCTATCGTGACCCTGTCAGCTGCCGTATGCCGAGGTTGAATGCTACTGGCAGGGTCTTGCAACTGAATTTCAGCAGGAGCAGGTGAGTTTACTAGGTATATGTAGGGCTGGCTTTTTGGTCAGCTTAGAATGACTGACTTTTAGGGCCCTGTCCTATTGGACAGGTAGACAGGAAAGGGTTGTTGTCCCCAGTGACCTGGAGGAGAGCCATGCCTCCACGTAGCAACGGCTTTCTGTCCTGCTCCTAAACATCTCCCAGGAGGGAGACTCTACGGCCTCCTCAGGGCCAGTTTCAAGGCCTGTCCCGGGAAGTTCTTTTGGGTGTGTGATCCAAACTGCTCTGTGACTCACATCTGCCCTTTCTCCAGTGCACGATGAGTTCAGGACAGCAGCGGTAGAAGGTCCTTTTGTCACCCTGGACATGGAAGACTGTGGCTACAACATCCCACAGACAGATGAATCGACCCTCATGACCATAGCCTATGTCATGGCTGCCATCTGCGCCCTCTTCATGCTGCCCCTCTGCCTCATGGTGTGTCAGTGGCGCTGCCTCCGCTGCCTGCGCCATCAGCACGATGACTTTGCTGATGACATCTCCCTGCTGAAGTGAGGAGTCCCACGGGCAGAAGAGAGAGATCCCCCTGGACCACATCTGGTGGTTCGCTCTGGTCACAAGGAGGAGACACAGATGGCACCTGTGGCCAGAGCACCTCAAGACCCTCACCCACCCACAAATGCCTCTGCCTTGACAGAAAAGGAAAAGCTGGCAAGGTGGGTTGCAGGGACTGCACCTGTAGGAACCAGGAGAGGGAAGAAAGAAGTGCTCTGATGGCGGGAATACCCTTGGTCACCTCAAACTTGAGTTGGGAAATTCTGCTGCTTGAAACTTCAGCCCTGAGCCTTTGTCCACCATCCCTTTAGATTCTCCAACCCAAAGTATTCTTCTTTTCTTAGTTCCAGAAGTAAGGTGACCCCAGTGTGTGTCTCTGCAGTACCCTAGCAGAGAAAGGGCCAATCTTGTTTCCCTGCTGGCCACAGTCAGCGGGAATGGACGCACCGTTTGCTGTTTGCTTTAGAGATAGGGACTGTATAGACAAGCCTATAACATTGGTGCAAAGACTGCCTCTTGAATTAAAAAATAATTTAAAAATAATTTGTACAAATAATTTGTACAAATGGGGGTGGCTGGACGAGGAGAAGGAGAGGGAGTGCAAAGACAGGGAAGCTGGGATCAAAGCGAGGCAAGGCCAGAACATGACCGCTCGCCAGTCCCAGTTTTAGACGGCATCTCCAAGATAAGAATCCCACCTTCTAAGATGGGTGTTGCTTCCCAATGTCTTCTTTTCTGTGGTTGCAGCCTGACCAAAAGTGCGATGGGAAGGAGGGCTTCTCTAGCCAAAAAGCTCTTTTTAACTCTCTTAAAGGAAAAGTGCCCACTAAAACGTTCCGTCTAACAAATGAATTTCTACCTTATTAATTCTTGTCCCTACCTGAACCTTCTACCGTACACGTGACTGGTAGCACTGAAACATCCCCAACCCTGGAAGCCCCAGGTGCCCTATGGGAAAGCAGCTGGAATAGAGCAAATATAACAGGGCTGCACTTTGTCTTCCTGGCTACCTGTTCACCCCCTCCCCCAGTCCTATTTCTCCAGAGCTTTGTAGCTGAGGTGCTAAGAATAGATAGGAAACCTCTCCTATCTAATCCTTGAAAGCAGACTCTTGAAGATTCATTCAACAGGGATAGAGTTGATGCCCTATACCCCCTGCCTGGAGTTCCTCCTGTTCAGCTGTAAGTGGTAGTAAGATCTTGACATAATACAGAGCAGTTTCGCTGCCTTCTCCCTGTCTCTAAGGTCTCCCTCATTTATTCGGCTAAGGCATCCCACAGTGGCACTAGTATTATACCAAGAATGTCAGGAACACAGGCTTTCTGGCTCCACCAGCATCGCATTCAGTATCAAGGCTGCGTGGAAAAAGGATGACAGCCTCTGGGCTTCCTAATTCCCTTCACCACAAGAGCCCCTTGATGGAGGCCATCCTTTGCCCCTATCCTGCTCTTTATTCCCCGCTCCTAATAGTACTTGGGTACCCAGGCTGGTTCTTGGGCTAGACAGTGGGGACCAAGTTCATTCCCTCCCTATCAGTTCTAAGCCAGTCGACTATGATACCAGTGTTAATGGGAAGAGCTGAATTTTCTTACTATTCCACTGGATCCTATTCCTCTCTGGTCAACACACTGCTTCCAAGTATGGGACCCTCACAGCGTAGAATTACCTGATGAGGGAGAGGGAAATACAAAGAGGGCCTCTGGAGATCCTGGCCTCGGCCAGCTGCCCACAAGCCATAAACCAATAAAACAAGAATACTGAGTCGCAGTTTTTTTATCTGAGTCCTCTTCATTCCCACTGCACCTGGTGCTGCTTTGGCTGACGGGGAACACCCCATAACCACAGAGACTGACAGGAAGACTGGAGCCTGTCCACTTCCAGCTTGGAACTTACTGTGTAAATAAACTTCCAGAACCGCTACCGTGAAATGAAAATGCCACATTCCACTTTATAATTTCGACTCACGTTGGGGAAAACCGGTTTTTCCCCAGCTCTTTCCAGGGTATAAAAGTCAACCCCTTCCTTAGTAAGTCTCATTGTCCTATTTTTTTCTTTGAAAGAGAAAACTTATACTTATTTTTCTTTTAACAGTTTCTTCCTTTCTACCCTGAAACCGTGAACTCTGAAGTGTAAAAAAAAAATCTAGACAACAGCTTCTTCCTTGTAAAAATATGTATTCTATATTTCTATTTTTAAATTCTATGCCAGAAAAATGACTGTCCCATCTCCACTCCCTGCATCAGGGGCCTTCCCCAGGGGTCTGCACAGCTTGTACCAGTGCAGGCCAGTGGAGAGAGGGAAAAGGGAGAACAAGGGTGGCCAAAACTTAACTGTTGCTTTCGGATTGATCCTGAACAAGAAGGAGCAAAGAGCGACGATGAGTCCCGGCCCCCACGCACACCCTCCACCACACTGTCTTCCTGCTGCAGCTAGTTTCCAGGGGCTTTCACTAGGAAGCAGTTAAGCCCCCCATCCCCTCCTGTTTTCTCTTTACTCCTTTGGTGTCAAAGATTTGTAGAAAAGAAACAGGATATTTTTTAGACCCACTTCTAATTTCTATATTTTCATTGGATACTGAAAAATACTGCAAGTGGCCCAAAGGCTGCTGCAAAGTTAAGGGGAGATAAAATCTTAAGATTACAAGATAAAAAATGAATCCCCCCCCCCACCAAATGAAAAGAACAAAGGAACTGGTCTTCCATTTTGCCACATTCCCTGTTCATGATGGCTACCAAACTAGAGTCATTAATATTTCATTAACCAAAGAAAGTGGCTCATCTGACCTCTACAGTGGGGAGTACTCAGGCCATTTCCATCACCCTAAAAGATGCCAAGGAGATCCCAGGAAATCCATTTCCTTACACTGTTGCCAGTCAATAAACCGGGAAAAGTAAGACAGAGAAGAGAAAGAGTATGTTCATGAGCTGCTAGGCAAGGATGAAAGACAAGGAAGAGTAACATAAAGAGAGAGGAGAGAATTATTTGGCTCTGAAAGGAAAAATCTTTGCTACCCTCATATGTACTACTAGTGCGAGTAAGCATTTCCAGGTCCCAGAATGGGAAAAATTCACCTGTTGGTAATATAATAATATCCTTTCCTGGAGCTAATTTTTTTTTATTACTGCTTAATTTTTACTTGTTTAATTCCAAAAGAGAAGGGAGCTGAAGCCATTTCCATTAGGAGTAAAGATAAAGCGACAGGAAAGGATTCAAAGCTGTAATAGAAACGCAGCTTTCCTCGGTATAAACCTAGAAACTGGAAGTGCTCAATAAGCAGAGGTGGAAAAATGACCTCGCTCCAGACAGCTACCCACAGAACAAATGACTTATAAACCTGAAATCTAACCTCCCTTCTTCATAGCACTTTGGTCTCCATTTGTCCCAGGACAGGAAGCATGTCCCCCATAGCTTTCTTGCTTCAAAAATTCAAACCCATATCCCAAGGTCATCCTGAAAGGAATTTTGCACAGACATCTCCTCACCCCAGTGCCTGCCTGGAACTCACCCAAGGTCACCAAACAACTTGGTTGTGAACCAACTGCCTTAACCTTCAAGGGGAGGGGAGATAGCTAGACTAGAAGACCAGAAGTGAAGGGGAAGTGGTGAGGACTTCACAAGGTTGGTCTGAAGGTTGGTCTGTGAAAGCTTGATCAGAAGCCAAGTCAGTGGTGGAAAGGGACGGCTTGGCCCAGGAAAGACCTGTGGGCTATGCTAGTTTCTAAAGAGTTGACTATCCAGGAAGTAGGGTGGACAGAAGTTTGTGGAGGCATGGGGGAAACGGGACCTGGTTATGTTGTTATTCTTGGACTGTGAATTTTGCTGATGTAAACAGACTATTCTGTAAACCTAATGTCTATGTACAAATAATGAGTGTTAACACAGTAAAATGTTCAACGAAAAATCAAACTATCAGGGTTATATATTTCTTCCTCAATCAGTCTCATTTTCTCCATTTGGAGTAGGGGGGCTAGAATAGCACTGAGGCTTCCGGAGGCTTTCAATAAGCAAGGCATCTGGCTGGACAGCAGGTGAGCACCAGGGTTCAAATCGGCGTACATGAGCCTTAAGAAAATGGACTAGAGGCTGAGCCAAATCAGAGCAGGGTGGCCTTAGAGCAAGAGCAGCTTCCTAGATGGTTTTTATATTGCATCTGAAAACAGCCCTAGGCAGGAATATCATAATTTCAAGGCCAAATTAAATACCATCTTACCTACAATCTGCTTCCCCCAGAGGAACTGAAAGGTGAGGGGGACAGACCATTTCTGCATAATATACATACTTTCATTTACGAACATCTGGATACAGACTTTCTATACACACATTACCTATATAATAAAAATGTACATGGCATGAGTATATGTCACTGTATAAATATAGAGTTTTAGAAATCTTGAACCCGCGCTTCCTGTTCACATCAGTTTCTCCTCTTCTTCCTCCCCAGTCAGGTCCATCATTTAAGAGTTGGACAAAAGGGACAAGTGTCATTTGTGTTGGTCTGGGCCCAGAATTTGATACACTGGAAAGAAAGAAAGACATACCTCAGGTTCATCAGGAAAGATGGAGGGAAGGAGGGGAGAGAGCGCTGTTAAGGTTCAACAGGTCTAAGGGATGTTTACTGAGTCAGAAAAGCTCACTGGGGGACTGGAAGGGCTGCTTCACTGGCTTTTACCACCAGAAGAGTCTTCAGAGCAGGTGAACCTGATCTTGTTTTACAGGGAACATTAACAATCAGCTAATGACAGTGAGAAGCTGCTTCCTGCTGACTGTCTACAGACCTGCTCCTTCTTGCCATCTATTTAGCCTGAGATGAGCTTCCATCTCCTAATACCTATTGCCCTCAAATCTTATTCAGGATTTTCCCTTACCAAGAATTTAGATATAAATTCAGTTTCTACCTCTTAGAAAAACAAAATGAACAAAACAAAATAGTAAAAAAAAAAAAAAAATCATCCCTGGTGCTAAGAGATTTAACTCTGTCTGGTACCATCATAAAACACAGGAATAACTTGTCAGTTTGTGAAGCTAATCTCTAATAGGTCAGCCTTCCAACTATTTTATTAATGGAGTTACTAATCTCATATTCAGGTTCCCTATTCCATTCCTCTCATCTAAGCAAAGTCTCTTGGCAATGGTACGTCTGAAACAATGGTTAGATATGTATATCTTATTGTCAATTTTCCAAGGCAGCGACTATCGGTGTTCTAGTATGAACTGTTTACCCAGTCCAGTCCCCTACAGGGAATGGGGTAGAAGGAAGCTGGGAGAGCCTAGCTGCCAGTATTCTGAATTCTGCTGACATTTAAGCCACGGTTTACTGAAACCTTATGTTTAGATATTAATGATGAGCGTCAACACTGTACAATGTTCAAGAAAATTAAACGATCTCAGCTGTCAAAAAGAAAGAGTGGAAAAAAGAGGAAGGCATGCAGCACCCACCTCCTTGTGCAGCACATGGGTGCATGCCATTGGGTGCAGCTCACTGGGCTGGACAAGTTTCTGGCACATTAGACACAGTTTACAGGTGGCTGGAGCCTGTACAGCAGAGGAGGGACAGTCAAAAGAGTAAGGAACCTCTGGGCCTCCTTGCCTTATATGCCCATGATTCCATCTACTCTTTCCATGTAGCAAAAAGATTTTACACCAAAAGAAAGAAAAGTTCCAATACAGAGTACCTGCATTTTCCCAGCTGGGGCTGTCAACAACCCAGCTGAGGAGATGACGGCTTCTTCCTGCGCTCCACCTATACACCCACTCCCTCCTCACCCCCAGCTTCTCCACATCCCAGTTTTCAAAGAATAGAGTCTTACATGTGAAGACCTCCCAGGATATGAAACTTGGGCAGAAGGCAAGAACATTGGGGTACTGATTTGGGCCAATGGAGCAGGGAACAGGGCCCGGATCCGACCAAGGGGCTGTGGGCAGAAACGTTGTCACAGTGAGGGAGGAACATCTGAGAAACAGGGCATTTAACAAAGAGAAGTCATTCATTTTCCAGCACAGCAAAGGAAGAAAGCAGGCCAGATACCCCTGGCTGCAATGCTTCTTCCCACCCCAAATATTTCTGAAATCTACCTCTTCCCCAACATCTCAGCAGGTCTGAGTTCTCCGCCAAGTAGCTTTTCTTACCTGAGTGCTTGCTGCCACCCGCTCGTGCTCTGCCAGTCGCGCAGCTACCAGCTGGATCAGCTCCTCCATGGTCAGACCTGCCATGGTGGTACGTGCTGTCTTGATCTGCTGAAGAATGTTGGTCATCTGGGCCCTAAGAAAGAAAAATGTTGAGGGGGAGAGATTCTATACTACACTCATGAGGAATATCTATGAAACCTCTCCTATTTTAACCCATAAACATTTCTCTGAAAAACACTTTTAAAATTAATCCTTAAAGATACTTACTTATTGCATTGTGGAAACCGAGTAAGCAGCTTCTCCAGAATCTTCTCCAGTTTGTCTACTGGTTGGGGCCGGGTAGTTTCAGTAGAAGCCTTAACACCACCCAAGCCTGGGGGAGGTGGGATGGAGGCGGCAGGGGGCACGTGTGGACCATGGGGGCCGACAAGGGAACCCAAGCCAGGGCTATTTCTCCCATGGGAGCCAGGAAGGGGTGGGGAAGGCTGGTTGGGCTGGGAAAGGGCAGGGTTCAGGATCGGGAAAGACAAGGAACGGGGATCTGCACTGGGCATAACCATGGGCATTGTGACCTGCCCAATGGAGAAAGGCATCCGAGGAGCCAGAGAGGGACTGGGTTGAAACACCTGAAGCATGAAGTCTGTCTGCAGAGGGGACGAGGTGAAAGACAAGTGGGAGAGAAAGAAAATGAAAGTTTAGGAAACTGGAGCAGAGATCAGTGAGCAACTGTTTCTTGTACCAAATAAGGATGGTCCCGATATCTTCATAAAAAGAACAAGTGAAAGACTCTAGGCTCTGCCACCAACACACAAAGGTAGACTCCCCAAAGCCAGCACTCTTACCTCTGATGGGGGTGGAGGCAAAGTGGGAGTCGGGATCTGAGGAAGGCTGCTCAGCTTGGCTCCATTCCTCACTAGCTGGATATGACTATTAAATTGGTCCTAGAAAAGAGAAAAAAGCAAGAATTATCCTTTACTGCTAAGCAGAATGAGCCTGCCTAAAAAGAGAGCACCATCCTATATCAGGAAAGCAAGAGGAGTGGTAGGACAGGCCCTGAGAGCAATGCAAAAGGTCCTTCCCTATCACCAGAAGTGTTTAAGCACAGATTAACTCTGACTCAATGATCACGCATCACTACACTTACCCGAACATTCTTTTTCATTATCCGAACTCCATTCAGTCTTGTCTCCCACTCCTGTTTGGAACGAACTGTCTCTAGTGTTGGGGGAGTTGACCTTTCAAGAAACCAACAGTAATTTACAGAATTAAAGAAAACCCAATTCCTAACTCTCTGAGATAGCAGAACAGTAGCTGGCTAATGGGCCTGGAGAGAAGAGGTCGGAGCATGTGCAGGAGAAGGTCAAGGTTCTAAGCCGTTTGCCTCACTTTAACTCCAGCATCTTGCAAAACAAGTATTGGAGAAAGCGGACCAACCACAGAGAGAGGGCTCTTGTCTGGCTGAAAATGCCATGGGGGTCCTCCAAATTTCACGGCAGAAAGAGGAGAAATGACTGTATAGGAAACAAATCTCCAAAGACGTTTGTTATGCTTGACAGCATAAGATATGCTGTCAAGCATAAATATGCTTGACAGCATATTTCCAATTGTTTATCCAATTGGAAATAATACAATAAAAAGTACAAAACTATAAGACTGTAGAAAGGGAAGAGTCAGAGAGTGAGGAAGTTTAGAGTATGGGAAGAGAAATCACTGAACAAATTACTATCACACAGAGATGACTCCCCGTGAAGACAGAATAAGTGCCAGACTAGCTGGCCCAGGGCTTCAAAACCTAAAAAGAAATGCCTCCAAAACACAAAACTGCAGGGCCATTAAGACCCCAGAAATGGAAGGTACTTACTTGAGGTAAGTAAGGTGCAGTTCTGCCTCTTTTTCTGCTTCTTCTAGTTTCAATACCAACAACTCTTTCCGACTCTCTAGTGATAAGATCTAAGGAAACCATACACACACATACACACAAACACACACTTTATTACTTTTACGTACACAAAGCTACCCTTAGATAGTTAAAACAATGCTTAGTGGCTCTACAGTATAATACTTAAATAGCTTAGTGTACAGTATTGATACTATAACAAAAGTACACACCATCTGGAAGCCCAAAATCAAGACCTTCAACATAGCTTCAACATAGCGGCTATTCTCACCTCTGCCTTCCAGGCACGTTCTGTCTCTTCCATAATGTTCCGATTTATTTCACCATCTTGATTCTTGAGTCTATCCAGTTCCATTTCCCACACTTCTCTGTAAGGTAAGAAGCCAAGAACAAGACTTAGGAGAGAAAGACAAGCTTGCTAAGGAACACCAAGGCGAAAGTAAAACCTGAAACTGGTCTACCTAGCATGTTAGAGGAAGTGTTACTCTAAGTATTAACTATAGATATATACAAATTATGTTTAAAGTGGTCTGAAATTGCATAATCACCCTATATTTGAAAGTAAAAATGTTCACATCTCCATTTGCTAAAATAAAGTTACCCAGAACAAAGTGCGTACTTAGAACCAAAACCCACTGAAGGCAGAATGTTCTTCTATGATCCAGGAGTGCTCAAATCAAAATGGCATTCCTCTGACTCCTTGTCTTTTGGTATGGGTACTGAAGAATGTAGGACTAAACCCAAAATACTTATCCCTAAGGCAGCAATCACTAATTCACTACTAACCACACAGATACTGGCTTACTGATTTTCACACAACCTTAGCTATAGTAAACATTCTTCAAAAGGAAAAAATGTTGTCTTCATACCTCAGGACTTTTCCTTTCCATCAGTTTCCTTCATTCTTACACCAGCTCCCCAGCCCCATCCCTAGAGTGTAATATACACCCTTAGGATTAGGGTGACCAACTGTCCCAGTTTGCCCAGGGATGAGGGATTTCCCAGGATGTGGGGTGGTTGATCATTCTACTCAGGACCGAAGATGCCAACAAAGGAACAGAACCGGCAGAAGAATTTCCCTGTATTACACTTGACTGTAATGTAATGAGTTACATAGCTAAAAGCAACAGGATTACCCAGATCAGTGGACAGAATAGTATGGAAATGTGTACATTATTTTCACTGAATTTCTAAAAGGTGAAAATAAGAAGAAAAGATTGGGAAGGATTCTGTCTTAAAAAAATGTTCCCACTTTTCTACGGTGAGAGAAATAATTTTATTCATCTTCCGGTTTTTTTAGTAACCTTAAATATAATATGAAAGGAAAAAATCCACTTAACATAAGTGTTTCAGGTCCCTTTTTTCATTGTCCAGTTCTCCACACACCCCTGGCTAGCTATTTCATAAAGTACAAGTGTGTATGTCTGTGTGTCTCTTACACACACATTCATTTATTGATTCACTAACATCCGTCTGGCCCTCTGCTGACAAGGTCAACTCATGTAATAGATACAGCTAGGAGGGCATATTCTTCCTTCATCTCCATGTGTTGTCCTCTCCAAATAAACTTCCTGACAGAGGAAGAATTCTCTAATAGTTCTTTTTTTTTCTTTCTCTAACAGTTCTTTAGACAAAGGTTTATAAGTAGATGTATTTTCCTAATACAGCACATATTCCTCAAGTGAAAAAATATATGAGGAGTCAGAATCCTCTTACCATAAGAATATGTGATATACGTTGAGGGGTCAATCAGCAGTCCATTTAGCCTACTAGACACTCTGTGACGATGGGATGATTGTAGGAAAACATGGCTGCTGCTTTCTGTGAATGATGCTGTTCTTAAAGACTATCGGTGTTCATCGAACACCTCTAATTTTCATTAAATTCATTTATCAACTAGGGATTACAATTATATTAGAAAAATACTGCCACGTCCACAGGGGACATCCCACAAATTCACACACAGAAAAATCTTCTTCTTTGGGCATCTGGCAACATCTATCTCCTTGGGATCCAACAAGACAAAAGGAACTACTAGCAACCACAACAGAAATGGTTAAGGAATTCTTAAACAGTCATAAAAATGGTCAGCCTTACCATACGTTCACTAGCCTGTAAGATATGTAACAGATTTCACTTCACTAAGGGGTACTAACTGCAACCCATGCTAGAAAAAAAAAAATCAGTTGCCCATAGCAGATGCCCAAAAAATCCTTGATATAATAGAAACCACTGAGTATGTTTTAACTCTTTAAATGCTTGGTCTAATTTCTTTCAAGTCCCATGCTTCTGTTATTTTGCTTAGCTAGTTTAAAGAATCAATGGTTCCAATGAATAAATCCTACCAGACTGTACAAGTCTGACTTGTCCCAATACGTTTGCATACTTTAAAAAATTAATTTTGCTTTTCATCATGTAAATAATACAAATTATAAAAAATTTAGAAAATACAAAACAGAAAGAGTCTACTAATTCAAAACAATACATGCAAGGGCTTCCCTGGTAGCACAGTGGTTAAGAGTCCGCCTGCCAATGCAGGGGACACAGATTCAAGCCCTGGTCCGGGAAGATCCCACATGCGGCAGAGCAACTAGGCCTGTGCACCACAACTACTGAGCCTGCGAGCCACAACTACTGAGCCCACGTGCCACAACTACTGAAGCCCATGCGTCTAGAGCCTGCGCTCTGCAACAAGAGAAGCCACCGCAGTGAGAAGCCCGCGCACTGCAACAAAGAGTAGCCCCCGCTCTCTGCAACTAGAGAAAGCCCGCTCATGGCAACGAAGACCCAATGCAGCCAAAAATAAATAAATAAATTAAACAAAACAAAAAAAACATGCACCCCAATGTTCATAGCAGCACTATTTACAATAGCCAAGACATGGAAGCAACCTAAGTGTCCACTGACAGATGAATGGATAAAGAAGATGTGTATACACACACACACACACACACTGGATATTACTCAGTCATAAAAAAGAATGAAATAATGCCATTTGCAGCAACATGGATGGACCTAGAGATTACCACACTAAGTGCAGTAAGTCAGACAGAGAAAGGCAAATATCGTATGATATCACTTATATGTGGAAGCTAAAAAAAAAAAAGATACAAATGAACTTATTTACAAAACAGAAACAAACTCACAGACATAGAAAATAAACTTATGGTTACCAAAGGGGAAAGGGGGAGGGAGGGATAAATTGGGAGCTTGGGATTAACAGATACATACTACTTTATATAAAGTAGTTAAACAAGGTCCTACTGTATAGCACAGGGAACTATATTCAATATCTTGTAATAATATATAATGGAAAAGAATCTGAAAAAGAATGCCCATACATACACACACACACACACACACACACACACGTAAAACTGAATCACTTTGCTGTACACCAGAAACTAACACAACATTGTAAGCCAACAATACTTCAATTTAAAAAAAAAAAACAGAAAGAGCCTAATACAGAGGTCCCAACTCTTCTACTTACTGGTTGTATGACCCTTGACAAGTTACTTAATCTTTCTAGGCCTCAGTTTCTTCATCTGAGAAACGAGTAGGACCTACATCATGCGACTGATGGGAGAGTTCACTGAGAAAACACACATGAAGAATTTAATATGGTGCCTAGCCCATGGGAAGCATCCATCAAATTGCTCTACAATTACAATTGCTCTACCCACAAAAAAATCATTATTATACTTCTTTTCAGTCTTTTAAAATAAATTTGTATATTTATATATGCATATGTAACATATAAATCCATTATATACGCTTTTCAAACAAAAACTGTGGTTTTTATCTTACTTTTTCATCCTAATGTATTTTTCCATATCATTAAGTATTCTTCAAAACTGTGATTTTTAAGTAACTATCCATTGTACATATATCCCATTATTGATTTAGGTATTCTCTTATTTTCAATTTCACAATTATAAATATTATAATGAGCATCTATCTGTGCATGTGTACTAACATAGGTTAATGATAAAAGTAATTAGATTTGAGAGGAAGCTTCTCACAGCAGTTAAAAGCACAGCTTCTGGAGCCAAACTAAACTCACAGTTCAAACCCAGACTATTACTATCTACTATCTGTGCAACCATTGGCAAGTTACTTAACCTTTGCCTCATTTTCCTAAAGAAAAATGGGGATAATAAAATAATCTACCTCTCATACAGAGCCATTATGCAGGTTAAATGAGTTAATACATGCAGAACATATAGGACAGTCTCTGCCATATAGTAAGAACTTAAGAAATGTTAGTTATCATTTGGATGTTAGAGAAACTAAAATATGTGAATACATTTTTTTCCACCAAAAGTGGTGGTAGCAATCAGGTGATTTTAATGCAGAGAAGCAGATGATAAGTGTCTTGTGAAATATTCTCAACAGTCAAAGACAGAACTAAAAATTAAGATGTTGAGTCCTCAGCTGAAATACCTTCCTTTCAGAATATATTATACTCTAAACAAGGCAAAAGGAAACAAAACAAATACCGGTGGATGCATTAATATAGATAGGAGTTGGCCGTCCTGAATTTGAGTTAGGTTGTAAAAGTCTTTTCTCTGAACTGAAGCTAATACAAACCAATATATTGGGTGGGCCAAAAAGTTTATTTGGTTTTTTCCGTAAGATGGGTCCAGTAGCGCTTAGTTGTCTTTAACTTCATTCGAGATAATTTTGTTAGGCTGTATTGTGACTACTGTCATATCAGCATGCGTTTAAAAAAAAAACTTATCAAAATTGGTGAATTTTTGTGTAGCCATTTTAATATTGAAGATGGAAGAAAATAAGCAACATTTTCGGCATATTATGCTTTATTATTTCAAGAAAGGTAAAAACACAACTGAAACCCAAAAAAAGATTTGTGCAGTGTATGGAGAAGGTGCTGTGACTGATCAAACGTGTCAAAAGCGGTTTGCAAAGTTTCATGCTGGAGATTTCTCACTGGACGATGCTCCGGTTGGGTAGACCAGGTGAAGCGGAGAGCGATCAAATCAAGACATTAATTGAGAACAATCAATGTTATACCACTCGGGAGAGAGCCGACATGCTCAAAATATCCAAATCAAGCGCTGAAAATCATTCGCACCAAATGATTTTTGCACCACATCATTGGTTATGTTAATCACTTTGGTATTTGGGTTCCACGTAAGTTAAGCAGGAAAAAACCTCTTGACCATATTTCCACATGTGATTCTCTACTTAAACGTAACAAAAACGTTCCATTTTTAAAACAAATTGTGACAGGTGATGAAAAGTGGATACTGTACAATAAGGTGGAATGGAAGAGATCGTGGGGCAAGTGAAATGAACCACCATCAATCACATCAAAGACAGGTCTTCATCCAAAGAAGGTGAT